TGAAGATGGAGAGAACTGTTCTGTTTTACAGGGAGAGATCACTAACTTACTGTCCAGCAGGGAGAGTTCAACTTCTATAGATTCATAAGGATAAAGAAATAACATCTAGGGAAGCCCAGAAAGATTCCCTTAGGGTAAAATGAATATACAAACACTGAAAACCACTTGAATTGACCCTAGCAGCAAAATCAGCTCCCTTATATGGCCATAGAAAAAAAGATGTACCTGACCAGACGCAAAGATGCAACCCAGAAATTTTCAAGCCTCCATGCCAAAAAGTACATGAATAACTGAGTGAGAATGTATGCTTAATTTGAAAGTTAGAGAACAATTTCTGGTCTTGTCTTCTAGTTAGTATTTGCATCAGATTTAAAATATATTCAGAAAAAAGTATTCTATGGATTAATTGCACCTCCCAGAAGTAGTTTATCCAGAAAAACAAAATGCAATTCCTCAGCTAATGACTAGTGCATAGAAAGGTTAAAACAGAAAACAAAACCATTTGTAACACTAAATCAACAACAAACTTTTTGGACAAAGGTAAAATGTTTCCCGTATAGGGTACTATTCTTCACAAATTATGGTTTAGAACAATGGTGCTCAACCTTTTTTGGCCAGCAGCCCGGATAGGCAGTGCCTGATCCCTCCAAAGGTGAGATCTGACAGGACCTCATTTGGCTGCGCAGAAGCAGAGATGGGGGTAACCTGGTCCCGAATCACTTGGGCAGTGAAAGGGGGCTTGGTCTAGCCCCAACCAGGCCCACAGCAGGAAGGGAGCATGGTTCAACCACAACCTGGCCAGACAGAGGGAAGGGGGCATGGCATGGCTCTTCGAGTGGGGGAGCACAGAAGGAGGGAGGGAGGCCTAGCCCTGAACCAGCTGTGCAGGGCGAGGGCACACTGCCCATCCCTGTAGCAGGAAGGGGGCGTGACTCAGCCGCAACCTGGCTGGATGGAGGGAAGGAAGGTGGTGTGGCTTGGCTCCAATCTGGCAGTGTGGGGGGAGGGTTGTGGCCCAGCTCCAACCTGCCCCGCAGGGCTTAGAATTTGGCAGTGGGGATGCGTGGCATTATTAATGGGCTCTGCTCTCTTGCTGCCAAATTTTTCAATTTGTGGGGCGCCCCCATGGGCCAGATTCCAAGGTTCCACAGGCTGCATCTGGCCTACAAACTGGAGGTTGAGCACCTCTGGTCTAGAATGCCGAAGTACTCCACTAATAGGCTGTTATTTAAAAGGAGTCCTAGAAAGGTAGGATGATCTTGGATATGAAGAACAATGGGACAAGCTACCTAGAGAACCTATGGAATTTCCATTCACTGGAGATTTCACGAAGAGACTACCCAGGTGTTTACATGCGACTGTTTAGGGACAGCAAATCCCAGATATATAGAGTGTTGGACTAGAAGATCCTGAGATACCTTGCAACCCTAGAATTCAACAGGCCCTGGACTTACTGGGAATGTGAAGCACACAAATATACACAATGGTATCTCAGAGTTGCTACTGAATCTTACTACATGACACTGCTTCCCAAATCTTAAAAGCTAATGCTGAACCCCAACCCCTTTATTCCTCATGAAGAGCTGTTAATGGACTCCACATTGTTTTATACAGACATATCCACACAGTCCTTCAGAGGACCTGTGTCCTTCCCCTGAAAGCCCATGTCCTACATTTTACAAAGTACTGTTTTAAGGAAGTACATCCAACTATACTGGCATTGTGTTTGTACATCTGGAGTACTTTTGCATTTAGACACAAAGACCTATTCACAATGCAAACTATACAGCTGTCTATTTCAGCGCTGCCAGCCTGGTGCTCAACATAGTTAAGCTTCCAGACAGTGACAAAGCATGTTAAATCCTTTACTCTTAGCTGAGATAGTGTCTAAAAACAAGCATTTCAGCTAAGTATTCAGGGGCCACATTTTTGCCACCCACAAACCGCACCTATTTATGCTTTAGTGTTCAACCATGCTCAATATCAACCAGTTAAATTAGTTGTTAAGCAACTGGTGTCCATTATGGTTTAATTTTCTAGGACAGACAAGGTCAGAGAGCTCTGCAAACAGACACTATTACATCTTTTCTCTAGAAAAACTGAGTCCTAATGTTCCAAATCAATACTGGAAAAATCTTATTTCAGTTAAACACTGCTAAAGATTCCCCATGTCCCCAAATTTTTTTAATTGGGCTTTTGATGTTTTTACTATGTTTATGAGCTAAAGATGGTTTTTCTCCTACGGTATTTAGGGCTTTTAGATGTTTCCAGGTATTGTATATGTTAAAAAACAAAAGCAAACAAACCAACCAACCAACCACCATCTATCAAGACTGAATTCTCCTTTGCTAAAGCTCCTCTGCCATAACCGAAACAGCAACAATGTTGCAACTTTAATGACCACTTCAAAATAATGTCTTTAAACTGGTCAACAGACACACCAATATTCAAAGCACACAAATATTTTAAATCACATTGTAAAAGCTGTTCCAAGGTAACTTACATCTTCATGTCCCTATAGGAACACACGTAAAGCTAAATTTTTGCAACATTAACATTGCTTCATTCAGAATTAAGGTTACAGGCATTTAGTTCACTAATACTTAGGGTGACTGTATGTCCCCGTTTGGCCAGGACAAACCATGATTCTGTAACCTGGTCCCAGCTGGTTGGTCAAAAGTCCCAGGACGTGCCATGAGCTGGTGGGGTGGTGCCTATTGCAGTCCACCCATCCGCCTTGCTCCTACATAGAAGCCTGTCTGGTGCACCATGCTGCTCTACTTCCCCTGCCAGACTCCTTCAGCCTGGGACTTTTGATCAACCAGCCACAACAAGGCTACAGCATCCTGGAGTGTCCTGGTCAAACTGGGAGATATAGTCACCCTAATTATGCTGCCAAAAAACATGGAGAGCAATACTTATATCCTAACAGCTGATATGTGCTCCCAAGTGGCAACTCCTTGTCCTCTTGTAAAACAGTTAAAGATTGTATCTGCCCATAGCTTATGTGCACTGACCCCTCAGTTCTTGTGGGTTACCTTTTACTTGTTTTCCGATTGCTAGAGGACAGAATTTTCAAAGCACCCCAAGTGATTTAAGAGCATGAATCTTGCTGACATTTGAAAGTGCTTGTGATCCTAACCCATCTATTCTTGTCAAATTCTTCTGCTCCACATTTAATCTGAAAACTTAAAGTGGTGGTTTCCAACCTTTTTAAACTCAAAGTGCCCTTTTTCCCATAGCTTTTCTGAATTTAGCATAAACTTTCCTGAAATGGATTTCAATGGGGGTTTTTTTGTTTCTGTTTGTTTTTTAACTATGAAAAAAAACAATAGAGCAATTCTTTTGCTCCAAAGAACTCAAAAAGATCACAACAGGTCAGAATGTTTTTGACACCAGGGATTCCTATTTGCAATCTCTAGGTTTATCTTGTGAATCATGCACAGGTGTTTGCACACCTAACAGGGATAATACTGCATGGCACCCTTATAAGGATCTCACACCTGGAGTGTCACAGTACCTCGCTTAAGAATCATTGCTCTAAAGTAGCCGACATTGAAATATACTAGATACATTTTAAAAAATACTTGAGTTCAGAGTTACCTTTAAAATGTTATCCTTTTAGAGAATAGCATCCTAGTCTTCCAACAGGGATAATCTTAACTTCTTGTGTGAAAAGAGCATGCTAAATAGGACTCATAAATAAGTTGATTTTTTCTTCTACACTTCGGATATTACTTGATATAACGAAGTGCAAAAGCCTTCATCTGTAAGCCTCTTACTACTCACTAACTGAAGTCAACATTAGATATCTATATATATATAAAATTCTCATTTGAAAAATAAAGGATTTGAACAAGCATCCATTCTGAAATGACATCAACTGGTGAAAAACTTGTGACAGTTTGGATAACAAAACCCCTACTTCAGTAGTTATCAACTTTTTTAGACTCATGATACCCCTCAAAAGATGCCACCACTTACCTTTCACTTATTTCTACCTATGGAAAAATACAGTAACTCTTCCATTGTAAAACTCAAAGACTACAACAGGCCAGAAAGTTTTGGACATGATCAACTCCTATTTGAAATTTCTGGGTTTAGCTTGGAATCATTTGTAGGTATCTGCACAGTTAATAGTAATAATACTGTGGCATCCTTGAAAGGATCTCATTCCACCACTTGACAATCACTGCATTACTTCCATACTTTTCTATACTCAAAGAACGCAAGTTTCACCGTAAAATACTTGGAAGGGCGGCCGTAAAAAAGAGGGAAAGTACCTTTTCTCTCACTGCAGGGAGGAGGATGCAGACCAATAGTTTGAAGTTTCAGTGAAGTAAGTTTAGACTGGATATCCAGAAAAAAAATTCTTTACTGTGAGAAAAGTGAGGCAGTGGAATAGACTGTCTAGTCTAGGCTACAGGTTCTTGCCTCTCTGCTCAGGGTCAGACTGATCGCCATATTTAGGGTCAGGTAGGAATTTCTACCCATGGTCAGATTGGTATGGACAGTGATTGTTTTTGCCTTCCTCTGTAGCAGGGGGCATGGCCCTCTAGCTGGCACCTCTTGAACATATATTGACAACGTTTTATAGAAGCAGAACATTGGCTGCTGTGGTTCCCCTGCTTTACCTGTTAAATCTCTGTTGTGTCAGGGCTGATGGTAGTCTTATGTAGAGTTTATGTTATGGTTGTATGGGATTGTCTGGATAGGGATGACCCTGCCTCAAGCAGGGGGTTGGACTAAATGACCTCTAGAGGTCCCTTCCAGCCCCACTTCTCTATGACCAGAAGCAGAACTCACAAATTCAATATAGAAAACAAATGTCCAAACTGAAATCCCTGGAAATATCTTCTAGTTTTACCCACTGTTTTTACTGAAGTGATCCAAAGAGCTACTTCTTCACTCAAGTGTACTCTATACAGTACAGCATATGAATAATAAATAATGTAAAGGCTCAAGAAGAAAAATTAATATCATAAAAAATTAAGCCTTACCTTACTACATCATCAATGTTGTTACGGTACACTCCTTCAAGCCTCTCTGCAGGAAAACCCATAGCAATTATGTTTGGATAAATATCTGAATATCCAAGTTAAGGAAATATTTGGAAATGATTTATAATACACAACTACAACAAAAAAAACCCAACATATTAAATAGGCTCTAACAAAATATAATTGCTTAACTACTTTTATAGCAAGGAATTTAAAACAACAGTTAAAGGTTACTGGCAAGGGCCAGGAGGATAAGGGGATCGAAAGAGATGAGAATATTTCAAAACAAACAATCCTGGAGCATATTTAATGTCTGGAACAAACTTGTTGCAACCGGGGGGAGAGGGAAAGAAGTGACCCCCTTCTCAGAAATATACTGCAGGACAATAAACAAGTAAGCTAGAACCATTCAGACACATTTAAATGTTTAAATCAGTACTGTTATGATATAACTGCTCTTAAGTATCTGCACTGAAGTCTTGCATACTGGCTAGTATAATTTCTAGATACAGTATATTTGATATATTACAAGGAAAACTGCATTTACCGAGTTCTACATGGAAGACAGCAGCAGAGGAAGCTTAAAAAAAGGAATGGCTATCTGAAGCTAGACCATTTACTGAACGCGATTTCTATATGAAGACTTAAGACAAATCCACTAACAAAACATTTAAGTTACTGTAATATAGCTACTAATTAACCATCTGACTTTATATTTTCCTCACTTCTAAACAATATCACTGTATTCTTCTACTTATATGACTACAGCTAGAAACGAGAAGGACAAAGCTAATAACACTACTTCAATATTTTTAAATTGAGATATTAGATCAATAGAGATACAATAGAGAAAAATAACTAAATTGAAGAAAGGATTTAAGTGCTAGAGATCCAAAACAACGTTCTAAACATCACAACAATTCATCTGAAATGAGCTGCTGCTTAGGTTTGAGACTTAGCTATCTACAGAACTATACGAACCAAATTTTTTGAAAAGTTATAGAAAGTGTGTATACGTACAACAGACCAAATCACATTCAAACACCAAAGTTATGGTAATACAAGTACTACGAAGCAGAAACTACTGCAACTTCATAAAATTTCTGTAGGTATCAGTAAATATTATAATTAAGGCTTTTACTGTCCACTCAAATATTAAAAATAAAGTCTTACCATTTATTCTGAAATTTACCACACAGCCAAAAGATAAAAATACTGATTTTTTTTTTCTATTATATCTTTCAAATATTTTCTTTCAATTGTTTTTCTGATGGTAACAGACCAAGTCCTAAGCACATTCATTTTTCCTTGGCATGGAATTAATTGCTGTCTGCTCACATAGTAATAAACAACGCTGAATTAGTAGTCACTACAGTAATAGATGGCAGTAGTTAACTTTCTCTCTTAGCAATTGTTACTTTTTTATTCTTAGGATAAATCTTGTCTCAGTATGTAATAAAGTATATCTGACTGGTCAAACCACACCTGAACAATTAGTTACCTAACCAACTTATTTTTAAACAAGCCTACTCCATAGAACAAGCGCCTTCCTAGGTTTCAGAGGCATACAAGTCTAGTTTCCTGTTTCAGAATTACACCTTTGCTCATAAAAATGTTTAGTCTCCAGTATACACTAAAAAATGAAGCTATAAAAAACTACTGTGGCAGATCACACTCAGATTTGCATTTATGGAAACTTGAAGCATAGGCATTTAAAACAAAAAAAGCAAGGAAAACACTCATTTTATCATGGCACAACTAAGCCCAAAGCTTTCCCCTAAAAGATTTCTCAATTTATGAAGACTGTATATAGAAGAAACTTTTTTATGCAACATGCTTCATCCCTGGATTTTTAAAAAATAAATATCAATGTACACTTGATTATGATCACCATGCCTGAAGTCACAAGTAGTCTCAATTCAGCAGGTTAGCCGTTTCACTCATTTGAATTCTAGTTTCTGGTACTCAACAATATATTCCAGGATGTTACTTCAAATAATCACAATATTGTATTGCTCAGTATCTACATATTGGAAGAAAAACACCCTCAATATTTACTACCACTTTCATTTTCTGTCTGTGAAATAAGAACCAAACATTTTCTGGGATTTCTAGCTGGTGCAATCTGACATTAAGAAAACTATACCAAGATGAACAAACTGAGCATCTGACCAAAAATACTATTACCAACATGCAAGCCAATTGACAGTTACAAACAACACGAGTTCTTAAGAAAGGAGACTTAGTGAAAAGTTCTCCACTGACAGAAAGATCTCTTGGCTGGATCCTGACTGTGGGGTTTCTCCCAGGCAGCAGCTGCAGAGCCAAATTATCACAGGGCAATCGGGGCTGTTATCAGCACAGTGTTGTGTTTGCAACTTTAACATTGCTTGCCCTCCTGCTGTTGACAGCCATGTACATGGGGGCTTAAGGGCCCCAAATTCTGCAGCAGGCCACTCCCCCTAGCCATGCCCCCCAACTTGCAGTAGCAGATCAGGAGAAAGTGGGGGAGAAAATGCAGTGGTGACTAGGGGGGTGGGGCAGAGGCATTTCTATTCAAGCATTTGAGAGAGACACCTGACCTTATGGCTTACTATCAGCTC